CCCCAAAACCCCAAAACCCCAAAACCCCAAAACCCCAAAACCCCACAAATTCTAAAGAAAATGAAATAATTTAAAATTGAAAATGGAATGCAAATCTAGTGCCAAGAAGGTTAAGGTATTTTGTGCCCTAACCTCCTAATTTCTAGGCATTGAAGAAGAAAGTTGTAGTAAAGAACAAAAAGAAAGTCAAGCCAGCCAAGGCTGTGAAGAAGGTAGAGCCACAACCAGAGGTGTTGTTCCCTCTAATCACTTATTCAGACCTTGATGATTCGATTGAAGTATTATCATTTAGTTTACATTTAGAATCACCTGAAGCAACTACCTCCAGATGCTGTAGCAAGAACCTTGCTTAAACAAGTAGACGATGGCGACTATGAAGGTAAAATTTACTGTAACTTCTAGAATATGATGAGCAAGATGAAGACGAAGAAGAGAAAGATGAAGGATTCGAAGACTGAAGCCTCACTCTTGATTTTTATGATCCCTTCGTCTCAGAGATTCTTGATAAGGAGTTCAGCCTTAATCATATTAAAGAGCTCTACCTTGATTCCCTTGAATTTGTGAATTCACAAGTGAGAACATTGTTAAAGAAAGGATTAGTTAGTGTAGATGAACTCTATCTGAATAAAAAGTGAAATCCTACTTATGTTTCCTCAAAGGTTGACCTGGAGTATTACTTTCCAACACTAAAGAAAGAGTTGCATAAGGTAAAGAAGAGCATACTCTTTGGATATTTTAATATTGATGTGGGGCAGCTTAATGAATTAATGAAAGAAAGCTCGCATTTGGAATTCATCTCATTCAATTGTTGCAAAGTTGTACTCAACGAGACACTTGATTTCCAACTTACAGGCGATAAGCAATACCAAACAAAAGTTATTGCCCTCACTGGATGTGGGAAGGATTTCAATGGAGGATCTGTTGACGAAGTTGGTCTCAAGCATTTTATTGAAGCTATATCAAAATGCTCACTGAAAGACTCTTTGAAACAATTAAGCATCACATGGTGAAACATCAGTAAGGAAACAGCATCTGAATATCTTGAAGAGTTTGGAATGGGCCATATAGCAGTGTGGGCTTAGACTTAATAAAATTATTAGGTTCAATATTAGCTTTGCAAAATGGGGTTTTGGGGTTTTGGGGTTTTGGGGTTTTGGGG